TGGGGACAGGCTGCTCCCAGTCTGCCAGCCCCGTGTCTCACGTGGAAGGGCCACCAGGCTGTGCCCTGGGTTTGTCCCAGGGGCTCAGCCAAGCCGTGCCTCGCTGTGTTTCAGGCCTGGCCTTCCAGCTGAGCTCAGCAGCTCTGCTGGCCATCCTGGTGTTCCTCCCTTCTGCCCTCGTGGTCATTGTGCTGCTGGTGAGGATGAGGAGGAAATTCCGGGTGCTGAAGGAGAAAGGAAAATGTGGCTACAAGAAATCCTCCATCGAAGTGTCTGATGAGTGAGTACTGGCTGCAGGCTGGAGCCTGCATTTCCACTTTGGGGTGTTGGCTCAGGCACGAGGGAGGATTTCCCCACCTCCTTCAGCATGAAGTGAGTGCAGTGCAGCCGCTGGTATCTGCTGCTGTCCCAGCAAGCAGAAAGCTTTGGGAAATCCCGAGCTGGAGCACAGACCAAGGGCTGCACATCCCTTTTCTCTGTCCTTCGCGTGAGGAATGCCATGGAACTGAGGCAGTTTGGGGTCAGACATCTTTCACTTCTGTAATGAGGTTTATTTGAGCTTCAGTCAGCAGGATGTTTTGCATGTATGACCTTTGGGTGCTGCATTTTTGGGTCCTCATAACAGCAAAATAAACCCAGAAAGGCTACCTGTGGTGGCCTGAGCAGGGATGCCAGGTGCTGAAGGAGCCTTGGAGATGGAGCTCCCTTCTGCTCAGCTCCTTGTAGAATGATTTTTTTTTTTTTTACTGTGGTCTTTTAATTATTTGATTGATGGTGTAAGATTTACCAGCCAAAAAGCAACTTTCCTTTTAATCTTTGTGCACTGAAGGGCCACCTTCAAACTGAGGCATCTGGCAGCTTTCAGTCCTTTTGGCTTCGCTGTGCAGACCTAAAGGTTTTCCTCAGGATGAAAAACCTCCAGTACCCTGTGGCACAGTCAGAATTCACAGTCCAGAGGAGGTAGAGGAGTGTCTGGGGAGAAAGTCCAAGCTGATGCTGTGCTTTTCCTGCAGGCCAGAGCACTCAGACACAGCTGGCTGCGGGGGCAAACTCAAGCAGTGCTGCCTGAACTGCGTGGTAAGTGAAAATTGGTGTTTTCACGGTGATTTTGCCACCCTGGGTGCTCCAAGGAGGTGCTGAGAGCGGCAGGTAGGGTGTCCCCACACCTCTGGGTGTCCCAAAGGCAGGGAGTGAGAGCTGCTGCCTGTACTGCTGGGGAGGCTGTCACGAAATCCACCAAACTGATTTTTCACCAGGCTTGATTGGAATCAGAGCTGTCGTTTCAAGATGACAAATCAGGGTTTCAGTGCCAGCTGCCGTGGGGTTTTTCCGGGGGCTCTGCACCAGCAGTTTGGGGCTGGCAGTGACCCCTCAGCCCTCCGTGTTTCTGCAGAGGTGCTGGAGATCTTCCTCCTTTTACTTTGTTTTCATTGCAGCAGAACATTGCTAAACCCTCGCGGTTTTTGTTTGTTTGTTTGTTTCTGCTTTTTGTTTGTCGTGCTCTCCGAAGTGGTGGTTGCCCTCTAATTGTGCTGCTTCCCCTCCCAGCCCAGCAGGTGCTCCAGCTCCAGAGTGGCTTTGCCACCAGCTGCCCTTATTTTGTGGGAGTCCTGTGCTCTGGAATGGGCAGGCACATTCCAGAGTCATGGCCAGTTCAGAGGAATTTCATTCCTTCCCTGTCCTACAGAGCACATTTACCTCAGGGGCACCTTTGCCTCTCCTGCACAGGATGGGAGTTAAGGAGGAGTTAAATATGTGTTGCTTGATTCACTCTCCTAATGCCAGTGATTTAAAACCTCCTAAATGCCCAAGCCTTCAGACAGGCATGTGCTGGTGGTTTCTATTAGATACAGGATGAGAACCGGGCAATTACGTAAGTTGTACATGAAATATTTACAGTTCTGCATTAGACACAGCAGACTTTATTTACAGTTCTGCATTAGGCACAGAGCTGCAATGCTGGGAATGAGGTTTTGGGGAGCTGGGGGAAGCAGGAAACACCTTGTGCCAAGGGCTGAGCTGCCCTGGCTGGGAATCAGGGAGGTGCCAGCAGGAGAAAAGGGGAGGGATGGAGCCCCAGCTTGGGGAGGAAATGCTGCCAAGACATGGGAGAGCTTAAAAGTTGAAAACTGCCCTCTCATCCTTTGGGAGGAGTCAAATTGTGACAATAGAATCCTGCTGCTTTCATGTCCAGTGCTCTGTCAGCTTTGATCCTTTGCTGTCTGATACTGAAATATTTATCTGATCAGCCCCCTGAGAATGTCCCTCTCACTTTAACAATTCTGCATTTCTGAGGTTTCTCTAATGTGCTTTTTCGTGCTTCCTAAGTGACCAAACCATTAAAATTGCAAAGCCGATGGGAAATCTCTTTGGATTGAAATGCTGAGTGTCGCTGAGGTTTGCCGTGCAGAGCTGAGGGGTTTGGGTGAGCTCAGAGCTGCAGAGCTGCGTGTGGGACATCATCAAAGAGCTGCTGTGGTTACAGCAGCAGGGGCTGCTTGAAAACCAGCAATTGGTGCTGCTCAGGGCTGGCTCTGCAGGGCTGTGCTGCACTGTGTGCCTCATCTTCAGCTGCTGCTCCTCTCAAAACATTTCACGTGCAGGTTATGGCATGGTGGCTGTGCCTGGGAGAAGTCAAACTTTTAGTGCTTGTACTTATATTTATTATATATACTTGTACTTGTTAATTATTATATATTTATTATATATACTTGCACTTGTACTCATATATTTGTACTCATATATTTGTACTCATATATTTGTACTCATATATTTGTACTCATATATTTGTACTCATATATTTGTACTCATATATTTGTACTGTCATCTTAAAATGACAGCTTTGATTCCAATCAAGTCCAATATTTGCACTCATATATTTGCACTCATATATTTGCACTTATATATTTGCACTCATATATTTGCACTCACATCAGTGGTTTTTGCAGCTCCTCTGGCCTGTTCAAGCACAGCAGCATTTTTGGGAAGCATTTCGGCTCTTGCCAGGTGCTCAGCCTTTGGCTGAACTCGTGGCTTGGTTCATTTGTTCACACAAAATCTCAGTTTCTCTCCATGTTCCCTGTTTAGGACACGGATGAGGAAGATCCCTACTGACTGAAGCTGTGGAAAAAGGCTGAAATTGCAGCACTGAAAATCATGGATGGATCCTTCCCGAGGCTGCTGGATAACCAGTGCAGGTTGAAGGACATGCTCTGCTCTCCGTGGATTGGAAGAATAATGCTGATGGGATAATTCACTTCTATTTAAGCACAAAACAATGATTTTCTAAGAAATCTTTCTAATTTATTGGGGAAAAGAAAACCTCTTGCCCTCAGGTCTGCAGGGCCTACTGAAGCCTCGGGCCTACAGTGCCAATGTGCCTTGGTTTTCCTGCGAGTTGCTTTGGTTCATTGGTTTGATTTTTTTGTGACATCCCTCTTTTGCTGAGCCCTGGAAATCCAACTTTTTGAAGTAAAAGTTGCTCCAGCTCTCTGGGCACTGACAAGGTTTATTCTCAGGTTTTTTTGGAGCATACTGACTCACACCAGTTTGATGAAGTGATATCTGGCATCCTCTGTGGTGGAGTGAAGAGAACCTACTGCTTTTGAAGTATTTTTTTATTCAGCTGCATCACTGGGTACCGCTCCTTCTACTTGTAGAAGTGAAGCACAATTCACAGAAAACAATTTTTTTTTTTTCCTTTTTTGAAATCAGAAATGCAAATGGGGACTCTGTTTCTGGGGACACACAACCCCATCTACCTCAGCCATGGACTCAAGCTCTGCCCAAAGGAATGTTCTGTTTGCAGTAGTTGTTTTCTTCCTCCCTCTTCTAGGACCCGTTTTAGGGAAATGGTTCATTGTGCAGCATTACTTCCTCTCGATGAAGGGCATTTCCTCTTTCACCAGCTTTACCCAACAAGGAATGGCAGAGAGCAATGGAATTCATCCACTCAATCCCTCAAAAGCTGCTGTCCTTCTGTATCCATCAACTATTCTCCTTTTACAGATGTGCTCCAGGTTTACTGCTGATTTTGCCATGCAATTACCAATAAATTGCATTATTCCATTCTGGGTTGTGAGTCTCTTTATTTGGCTGAAGACAGCTGAACTCATAAAACTGCCACGCTGAGGTGTAAAAATTGTCATTTGATGATGAGTAAAGGTTTTTAGGGAGCAGATTTAACCCAAAAGAGGACAAGCACCAGGTCCCCTTCAGCATCTCTGCTGGCTGCAGCTTTCAGGTGTGGTGAAACTCTCACTGAGAAGTAGGTCAGCTGTAGATCTGTGCCTCCAGATAAACACATTTTTCTCCTGTCTACTAAAAAGCAACATTTCAAGTATTTGTGCTCCCTGGTGACACAGCATCTCTGTCAGGCGAAACTTCCCTGGGAAAGGCCGTGCTGGGATCACACAGCCCGGGGAAGTGGCTTTGCTGTCCCCTCCCAGCACTCCCCATTTCCCCTGGGGAACCAAAGGCTCTTTTTGCTGCAAAATGCTGCATTTCAGCTCTGCCCCCTGTGTGCCAAGCACATTTCTCTCCCTCTCAGGATTCTTCATAGAGGTGCAAAGAGAGAAATGAAAGAGAAAGCAATTTCTATTTCTGCTCCTTGTTTTTCCTATGTAGAATGTGTTTAGAGAATTGTTTACCTGGGGTGATGCTTGGTTGGATTCTGGTGAGGATTGTTTGAGCCTGGTGGCCAATCCAACCCACCTGGGGCTGGGCTCTCAGAGAGGGCCATGAGTTGTGCTAGAGCTGAAGAAAGTAGTATGTAGTTTTTGTATCCTCCTTTTATATAGTATATTAATGTATTTTAGCATAGTTATAATAAAGAAATCATTAATCCTTCTGAATTGAGTCACACATCCTCATTCCTTCCCATTGGGTTCACCTGCATTTCCAATATTCCTGGGCAAATATTCCTGGTGCAAAGCTGAGCTGCCCCCTTGGAGCTGCCATTGGTGCTGAGCTATCTCTTCCCCTGCCACCCACATGGGAATTTCTCGGTGTGGTGATGCATGCAAGGAGAGATATTATAAAAGAAAGGCCGTAGAAAATCAGGCCTTTCTGCTGAATTACCAGCTGGCCTGATATTCCTTCTCAGTGCAGCCAGCTTGTAAGTTCTCATCAGTTACCATAATCTCTTCTAGTGAGGAAAACAAGCTGAGCTTTTAATAACAAGAAATTTGTCCTATGAGAATCAGTGAGACATGTAAACAATCTAAGAATGGAGAGATTTGATGGAAAGGTAAAATGCCATTTGCTAAGCAATGAATCGAGTAGCAAGGAAGCCACTGGCCAGTTGGAACTGAGCACGAGGTCTGTGAAAAATGAGTTATGTGAATAAAGAAGGGGCTTTTCTGCATGGAAAAAACTGAATCCTTTATTGCAACAGTGTGCCATCAAAGCCACTGATACTGGAATGGAGAGAGGGGATACTGGAATGGGGAATATTGGGATACTGGAATAGGGAACATTGGGATACTGGAATGGGGAATATTGGGATACTGGAATAGGGAACATTGGGATACTGGAATAGGGAACATTGGGATACTGGAATGGGGAGAGGGGATACTGGAATGGGGAATATTGGAACACTGGAATGGGGAATATTGGGATATTGGAATGGGGAGCAGTGGGATACAGGAATGGAGAGAGGGGATACTGGAATGGGGAATATTGGGATAATTGAATGGGGAATATTGGTATACTGGAATGGGGAATATTGGGACACTGGAATGGAGAGCAATGGGATACAGGAATGGGGAGGGGATACTGGAATGGGAAGCAGTGGGATGCTGGAATGGGGAGAAGGGATATTGGAATGGGGAACAGGAGCTTCTCTAGCGTGTCAAGGAAAGAGAAGGGCGAAAATGCACTTTCAAAGTGGCCAGGGGGGTTGCAGAGGAGGAAAATCAGTGTGTGGTGTGTGTCAGGCAGCTGCCCACGCTGTGCCAGGCAGGTTCAGGGCCCTGGCAGCCCCAGGAGGAAGGCGCAGCCACGTCACCCAGTGCTGTTTCCTCAGGGACAGGACCAGGGTGCAGCAGTGACAGCTCTGAGCACCTCTGGTCCCCAGAACAAAGCAGGAGGGAGCCCAGGGAGCGGCCCAGGAGCCTCTGTGACCTGGACTGGTCACTGTGACCGGTCAGGCCAGTCCCTGATGCTGGGTTTGAGCCCCAGCCCTCCGTGCCAGGCGCCTCCTGGGGCTGCCCCATCACCCCTCTGGGGCAGATGCATCTGAGCTGGTTTCCCCTCTCTGTTGCACATCCTGATTTTTTGTTCTGCTTTCTCTCGTGTGTGAAAGTGACCATCAGACCCAACCTGGAAATACGCAACCCCGAGAGGATTTAGCAACCATCAGTCGCTGAGGGACATGCAAGACTAGCTGACTGCTCCAGGCCACTCTAGGTGAGTAATTTTTGCTGGAATCCTTATTTCTGGATGTTTTTTTAATTTGTTTGGCTGAGAAGAGAGCCAGGGGAGCAGAAGTGCTGGTGGCTCAGATGCTGGGTGCCAAAGCAGGGGAAGGTGAAGGCCGTGTGCTGTCTGTGCCCCTTTTCCCCCAGTCTCTTTGGGAGAGGATGTGTCAGCACTGGCACACACTGAATGAACAGCCTGGTGAGTGGGTGCTGGCTCCAGCTGGTGCCTCCCAGCACCCTCTCCCTGCCGTGTGGCACAGGGGGAGACCCTGCAAAAATGTGTTCCCAGGCAGGAGCAGAAACCCTTCTCGAAACCAGGGCGATAAACCCGGCAAGGACCTGCTGGCAAATAAGGCCCAGAGCCCCAGGAGCTCAGCTGCAGGAGCTTTGGGAGGCTCTGGGTATGGAAATCTCAGCTTCCTGCAGCCAAGCAGGGCTGGGGTTTGGGCTGGCTGCTGTTCTGGCTGCTGCAGGGGGTGGTCCTGGGAGGGTGCAGCTCGGCAGGTTTTGGCAGCATCTCTGGGAAACAGGGTGCCGTGCCTGTGCCCTGAGCTGTGCCTGCTGCCCTGGGGCTGAGCAGGAGCTGTTTGTAGGTCGCTGTGCAGCCAAGTGTGTCACGGCAGAGCTGCTGAGAGCACAGCAAAGCGTGCAAAAACCCAGCCCCAGAGGGGTCCTGTGTTCAGAGAGGCAGATGGGAGAGGATGCCAGAAGGTTTGCTGCCACTTCTCAGGATTTTTGTTGGTGGAAAGGGCAGGGTGATGAGGGTACAAAGCTGTAGTGATTTTCTCAGCCTAGAACTGATCCAAGGGTCACCAGCAGGTGATTCTGGGTCTGGAATCCCTGTCTGATGGTGGCCTGGAGAGCCTCTCATTTGCACAGCGGAGCAAAATGAGTGAAGCCACCAAAATGCCAGAGATGATTCAGCTCTTGTCTTTCTATTTCATTTCTGCAGTATTGGAAAATCCCTGCTGGTAATGGCAGCCTCAATCCCAGCTTCACGTGAGGGCTCTCCGGGCAGAGGAGTTCTCTCAGTAGCTCCTTACCCCAAAATGAAGGTTCACAGCTGGGATTGCAGCAGGGACAGGCAGCAGGGCGCTGGCTCCTGCCTTCCTCTGGACACTGTCTGGCACGTTCCTGCTGGGGACAGCCAGTCCTTCCCTGGGCTGCAGGATAAAGCCACGGTGTGCAGAAGGAGATGTCAGCTGTACTGTGAGAGAGGTGGAGCAGCCGGAGCTGAATCCAGGGATCAGGTGTGGCGCTGCTCCAGCAGCACCCAGGGGCAGGGATTTAGATCTGGAGTGGGGGGCTGTGTTCTAGGGCTGAACTGTTCTGATGAACAGAGTCAGCACCCGTGAACGTCTCAGCTTAGATGTCAGAAGCTCGACCCCAAACCACCGGAAAGAAACTTGGGGGGAAATATGAAGGGGCTGATCCCTCTCCCTTACGCAGACTCTTCCTTTCCAGGCTCAGCCGTCTCACAAACCAGAGTCCTGTCCCTGCCCTCTGTGCTGCGCCGACTTCCAGCCTCCCAACCACAGAGGTTACACACCAGAGCCTTCCTCTGACCTTGAGCTGGCTGCCAGTCCTGCCCCAGGGGACACTGAAGCGTGTGTCACCTGCGCTGCTCTTTTCAGAGGGAGATGAAGGTGCTGCTGAGCCTGACCCTGCTGCTGACATGGCTGGGTAAGCTCTAAATTTTATTCCCCTCTTCTTTCCCCTCTGCCTTTGCTCAGAGACCCCTCAGTGTGTCTCCTCCTGTGGTGAGAGGGAACCCCATGGAGCTGCTCCTCCTCTGGCCCTGCTGCATCTCCCCCTCCTGCAGCCCTCGCCTATAACCAGGCTGCAAGCTGCACTGCCATCCCTGGATGTGCCCTGTTCTGAGGCTCCAAGGCTTTGAAAGAAGCAGAACTGCTTCACCAAGTCTAAATACAGGCAGAGGTTTCCAAGGTATTGATTTTGGCTCTGCTCAAGGCAGGCAGCTCCCTTGGTCTTCTCCGCTGGCAAATATTTGTCATTTTTGGCTCCTCGGCTGGTCAAGACCAACAGAACTTGTTTGGGAAGCAGCAGCACTTTGCATTCATTATTTACAGGGCTTCAGACAAACACTTGGTTCTTGGCCAGGGCCCAGCCCTCGCTGGTGTGGACAGGCTGAGCGGTGGCTCAGCCACGAGGACGAGCCTACCTGTCTGAGCAGCTCCCCGAGCTGAATGAGCTCAGCCAGCTCTCTGCAGGCAGCACCAGAGCCTCAGCCTCCCCTTGCAGGGCCGCTGCAGGCTGAGGCAGGTGGGGTTGACGAGCTCCCGTGACATTTTGTGTCCCACTCATTTCAGAGAAGACCTCTAATCCCCTTCCTGCCGCACGCTCTGCAGCCCAGCCAGCCGGCAGCTGCCTCCTGTGGGTTCTCAGCGCTGTGCTCTTTGATCTTCCCCTGCTTTGCTTCTTTCCCCACTGTCCAGCTTCTCTAGAAACCCCAAGCTGTGGTTACGTGGCCAGACAAGCAGCAGCCCAGGTCTGGAGCCTGTGAGCAAAGGGGAAGGAAGCCAAATGGGCAGCGAGGGAGGAACTGAAATTCGTGTCAAGCGCCGGGATTGCCCCTGGCCTGGCAGAGATGAGCAGCACAGGTTCTGCCGGGCAGTGACTCAGAGCCCAGCCCTGCAGGAGCTGCAGGCTCTGGCTCCGAGGCGTGGAGGGCAGGGGTTGTGCTTCCCCTGCCCCTGGCCCATCACACGCAGCAGCCCTTGCCGTGCGGGAAGGATGTGCTGCCCCGCATCCCGGCCACACGAGCAGGGGCCAGGCACGGGCTCGGCCTCGGCGCTGCTCAGGGCCAGCAGCCCCGGCCTTCCCCGGAGAGGAGACGGCGATGGGGACGGGCAGGCTGCCGCTGGCCGTCCTCCCTGGGCTGATCCTGCTGTCCCTGTCCCCGGCAGGGCGGTGCGGCGGGGCCGCCGGCGTGTTCACGGAGCCCCGGCTCCAAGCTAGGGCTGGGGGCTCCGTGCTGCTGCAGTGCCTCTTCCTGGACCCCGACAGCAAGGGATGGACCCTGCACAAAGTGGACTGGCTGCACAAGGCAGGAGCTGGCACGCAGGTGGGTCGGCGCGGGGCTGGCAGGAGAGGGGCACGGGGCTGGAGGCAGGGGAGGAGGGCGAGGCAGCCCTGGGGAGGCTCTGTGGCAGCCCGGGGAGGATGGGAGCCCATCCGTGTCGCCAGGACATGAGCAGAGGAAGTTTCCAAGAGAGGAAGAAGGCAGGACCCGCAGCACCAGGGGAGCTCCACTCTGGGCGCCGCATCCCGGGGTTTTCCAGAGTGCCGGGCAGAGCAGAACAGCCCAGGGCGCAGGGGGAAGGTGCGAACTGAGAGCTCCCGAGGAGGGACAGGCGCCGACATCCCGCACCTGCCATCCCGCACCTGCCCCGGCAGGAGGAGATGGTGTTTTTCTACTACAGCAACCACGGCGTCCCCGCGGGCCGCTTCAGGAACCGGGTGCAGTGGCGGGGGAACGTGTCCCGCTGGGACGGCTCCATCCTGCTGCAGGACCTGCGCCTCAACGACAGCGGCACCTTCGAGTGCGAGCTGCGCCTGCTGGAGACCAGCCGCGTCTTCAAGAGCCGCACGGTGCTGCTCGTCAGCCCCGCGGCACCCAGAGGTGCGCGATGCTCCCCGCCCACCCCGGAGCTGCCCCACGGCTCGGGGGTCCCCGCGGTGCCACCCGTGCCTCGGTGTCCCCCCGCAGGTGCCGAGGATGCCGCGCCCCTGAGGGACTCCGGCTTCTGGCCGGCCGCGGTGGGCTGCGGCTGCGTGGCCGTGGTGGTGGCGTTCCTGGCCGGGCTGTGCGTGAGGAAGAGGTACCAAAAGTGGGTTTAGGGGATGGGGAAGCACCTCCCTGCAGCCCTCCCTGGCCAGGCTTGGCCCCGGTGCTCGCAGGTGTGAGGGTTCGGCTCCCAGGTGTGGGTGCCAGCCTCCTGCTGCCATCTAGTGCCACCGTGTCCCTGCTCGTCCCCTCGGCTCCCCAACCTCCTGGGCTGTGCCAGCAGCACGGATAGCCTGTTCCAGGCTGTGCAAAAGGATGTCGGTGTCCCAGGAGAGGGAGGGAGGGACAGGAGGAGCGGGTGATGCTGCTCCCGGAGGTGACACTGCTGCTGCTGCCTCCCCTCAAGGTTTGCAGCCGTCACAGCCCTGGAGAGGATGGGGAAGAGCAGCAGCAAGAGCAAAGCAGAGGTGAGAGCTGAGGCTGGAGGGGTCCCTGGGGTTCAGGGCTGGGGAGGCCGGGGGGGATCCCACACTGCCCAGGCACCAGGGGCCGTTTGCTGGCCAGCTCCAGCCGTGGCTCTTGGGACTGGGCTCAGGCAGCCCCTGTGTGTTTGGGGGCTGCTCAGTCCCAAACAGCCTGATCTGCCCCTCGCAGGAAGCAATTTACTCCTCAGTCCCTGGAGATGAGGTCGCCAAGGCTGAGCAGGAAGCAAAGAAGAAGAGGAGAGCTGAGGACACCTACATAACCATGGTGAGGAGCTGCAGCAGCCCCGCTGGGGCCGCACATCACTGCCCCCCTCGCCAGGGCCACGGCGCTCAGGGCCTCACTCCCTGTGCCAGACCCCAGCCTCCCGTGCCCCCTGCCCCCTCCAAACACACCCTGGTACCCCTGGTGAGGCTCACACCTTGTCCCTTGCCCCCTGCAGCACCCGTCTCACTGCCGGGACAACGGCGTCTACGTGGAGCTGGCCAAGAGGTCCATCCCATCGGAATGGATGGCAGAGGGGACACGGGGGCACGGACAGAGCCAGGAGCCCCCCAGCAGGCCAGAGGAGGCGCTTCCCCAGCCTCCAGAGCAGCAGAAATAGCTGTGCTGTGGGATGGCAGCCCCTCACCCAGGTGTGTCCGACGCCTGTGTCGCTGTGAGGACTGAGCACTGCTGACACGTCCCTGTGCCCCGTGCCAGGGCACTGCTGGGGCACAGCCCACCCCAGCTGTCTGCAGGGGACCAGGGGACGCCTGGCCCTCTGGCTCTTGCCCCCTGGACTCGAGAGAGTGGGCACAGCCTCACGCTCCAGCTTTGGACCTGGCCCAGGATGAGGATCTCCGAGGGGGCAGATGCAGCAGGAGCCGTCACAGTATTTTTCTGTAGATAATAAATCTCAGGGAGCCTTCCCTGATGCTGTCTTCGTTTTACCTCCAGCATGTGATGTCCAAGTGTGCCAAAATCTGCCTGGCCCAGGGCCTGGGAGCCCTGAACCCATGTGCAGCCGAGCACGGGGCACCACCAGCCCCGCTGGCTCCGGGCGGGAGCAAAGCCAAATAGGGCAAAAAAAAGGGGGGGAAAAGGGGTCCCTTGGCAGCACGATGGGGACCGAGGGGAGCAGGACAGAGCCCGCGGGTCCCCCACGCGTGTCCCCTGGCCATGGGTGAGCAGCCGGGTGATGGGCAGCGCTGGGAGCCCGGCCACCCCTCCCGGGCCCCGGGGCAGCGCCGGGGCGGGCGCTGGCGCTGCTCCCGCAGTGTCTCCGGGTGCCGGGCGCTATCTTTAGATGTTTGACACCTCCAGGTGCGGAGGGAGCCGGGACCCTCCGCTCCCAGCGCTCCGGCACACTGCAGCGCCGCGCTGCGCTCCTTGGTTCTCGTTGACACCCGGCTCTCTTTTCGCGCAGGCAGCCGCGGGACGGGATTCAGGAGGAACCGGCCCCCGGGGCTGGATGTGGGGGGCCGGGGGATCGCACAGGGCCTTTGTGGGGCCGTGGCAGGGGTAGCAGCAGAGCAGAGCCGGCTTTGCCTGCCCAGGAGCTGTGACAAAGTGCTGTGCGTGCAGTGTTTGCTGAGCAGAGCTGCTGGGACACTGCCGTGCCTTCTCTCCCGGTGTCCTGCTTCCCCTCCTGGCTGTGGGCAGGCAGCAGAGCCCCTCGGCATCCCTCCCCTCGGCATCCCTCCCCTCGGCATCCCTCCTGCCTGCCCCGGCTCTCTGCACAGGACCCACGGGCTGCCCTGGCTCTGGGGCATCCCTCGACTCTGTGCCCAGGGATGCTGTCCCAGCAAACGCCAGCACGCCGCGTCCCGGGGCCTGGGCAGCGCTGTCACTGCCTCCCTGGGCTCCAGGAGCTCCCTCCTTGCCTTCCCTGCCCCATCTCTGCAGCTGGAACCCAGGAGTGGAGCCCAGGGCCCAAACCTTCCTCGGCGGTGCAAAGGGGACCAGAGACTTTCTGCAGCCCCGTCCAGGGGAGCCGTTCCCCTGGGACAAGGCGCTGCTGGAGCAGGGGAAGGAGCCTGCAGCAGTTTTGGCAGCCCTGGGAAGTGATGGAGCTGTCCGGGAGCGGGCCGGTGATCAGGAGCACCTTTACCTGCTGCAGCCCACCTGGGGCATCCCGGCTGGGCTGCTCGGGCCCTGTGCTGCTGCCAGCCTGCAGCAGCCCCTCTGCCCCCTGCCCGGCTCCGGGAGGGCACTTCCAGCCCTGCCGGGCCCCGCTGGGCGCTCCAGGACGGGAGCTGCTGCCCTGGATGGTGTGAGCGGGGCTGGCCGCCAGCCTGCAGCGGGGCACAGGGGACACACCTGCGTGTCCCCACTGCACCCCGGGGTGCAGGAACCCCCCGTGTGCCACGGCCCGTGCACGGAGCGGGGAGCTGGCACTGCCAGGAGCTGTTGCCTGCAGTTCAGGGGAAAATTTTTCCGCCCTCCCACTCCGGCGGCTGCAATCCACCAACCACAGCATTTACTGCTTTTTTTCGCCCCAGCACCGCTCCAGCCATATTGGGCTGTGGGGAGAAAGCGGCTCTAATGTTCTATGTCACCTGCAAATAACCCGGCCGTTCGAAAAAGCACCTCCACCACCTCCACAATCCACACCAACACCACGTCCTCTCCACACACAAAAATCCGTCAAAATGAGCCCGGAAGCCTGGCTCCCGCAGCCCACCTTGTTCCTCACTGGCCTCACCTTGCTCCTCTCGCTGGGTAAGTGTCGGCTGCAGCCCCCTTGCATGTGCCCAGCTGGGGGGACACCCGCGTCCCTGGCCAGGAGCCCCCGCCCGTGTGCCACCCCGGGAAGGGCTGTGCCGCAGGGATGGGGACGGAGGTGGGCTGGGTGCGCCCTGCGGAGAGCCACCAGCCGGGGTGACCTGCTTTCGGGCAGGGTGGGGGCTATGGTGCCGCCGCATCTCCTCCTAAAAACGCCCTGAATGCCGGCTGTGGAGCACAGAGCCCTTGGCACGCCGGGCAGAGCAGCGGGCTGCCGTGGGGACAGGGCTGGGGAGGTGCTGCGCTGCCAGGTGGGCAGTGCTGCCGTGGGGCTGTCCTTTGGGGTGCTGCCCTGTGGCTGTCCTTTGGGGTGCTGCCCTGTGCCTCTCCTTTAGGGTGCTGCTGTGTGCCTCTCCTTTGGGGTGCTGCTGTGTGCCTCTCCTTTGGGGTGCTGCCATGGGGGCTGTCTTTGGGGTGCTGTCCTGTGCCTTTCCTTTGGGGTGCTGCCCTGTGGCTGTCTTTGGGGTGCTGTCCTGTGCCTTTCCTTTGGGGTGCTGCCCTGTGGCTGTCTTTGGGGTGCTGCTGTGGGGCTGTCCTTTAGGGTGCTGCTGTGTGCCTCTCCTTTGGGGTGCTGCCCTTTGCCTCTCCTTTGGGGTGCTGCCAGGGTGCTGTGCTGCCCTGTGGCTGTCTCGGGGGCACTGCCAGGGTGCTGTGCTGCCCTGTGGCTGTCTCTGGGGTGCTGTGCTGCCCTGTGGCTGTCCCCGGGCCGTGCTCCATGTGCGCTGCAGCAGCAGCAGCAGCAGCCGCGCTGTGTCAGCAGCTCCGCGGCGCATCCATCGATCGCGGCCGGGATCGCGCCGCTCTCGGAAGCGCCGGCCCGGAGCTCCTGCCGGGCTGCTCCTCCCCGAGGAGAGAGCCTGGGAAAGGAGGGAACAACACCTGCTCAGGGCTGCCGGGGAGGCGGCTGCCATTGTCCCCCCAGCCCGGGTGCAGCATGACGGAGCGTTCGGGAGCCTGCGCAGCGCTGCAGGACGTGGCCTGGACGGTCCCTGGGGTTTTTGGGGATTTCTTCCCCCACCCCTGTCGTCCCCCGGGGCTGAGTGCCCAGCCAGTGGCAAAGTTTGGACCCATTTGGGTGCTCCTAGGTGCTGCCAGGCCATGGTGCCCCTGCTTGAAGTGACAGGCTTGCTGCTGGTGGCACCTCATCCCTCTGTAGAGCCCCGGGGAGCCCTGAGGACGTGGCACAAGGCCAGGCCACCCACCTGCAGGCACACAGGGCACCATGTGAGGGGCACTCAGGCAATGATTCCATGCAGGGATTCCCTCCAACCACTCTTGCTGGCACAGGCCAGCTCCTGGCTCTTCTCTCCCACCCCTGCGAGGTTTTCTTGGAGGCATCAAAGGTGGCGGCTGCCATGGGGCAGCAAGGCTGCGACACTGGCTCAGGACACTCCTTCCTGCCTTGGGTGCTGTCCCCATGAACCAGCTGTGCCCGTCCCTGTGTCCCAAGCCCTGTGGGAGCCCTCCCTGCACCGGGGCTGGACGGGGGACGCTCCCCGTGGCTGCCAGCACAGCCAGGAGCTGTCCCAGGGCTTGGCCATAGCCGAGGGCACCGCTCTGCCCCAGGAAGCTCCAGGGTGCTTCTGGTTCACAGCTCGCAGTGGGAGCTGGGGCTCAGCACCCGTGGGAGCTGCGCCTGCAGCTCAGGAAAGGCTCCTGTCCCTGGCTGCAGAGCCTGGCCCCTTTCCTGCCCTGCTTGCAGGCGGAGCGCAGCGGCCAGCGGAGCAGCCCTGACATGCACCCAGCTTGGCCTCGGGAAGAAGGTTTGAGAGCAAAGAGCAGCAGCCCAAGGGGAGAGGTGAGGTGATCCTAAAAGCACCTGCTGGCAGTGTCCCTGTGCCTGCCCTGCAGGGTGTCACGGCCCCCAGGACACTCTGGTCCCTCCCAGGGCTCGCTGTCCCCGTGTCCCTGTGCTTCTCAGGGTGTTTGCAGCCGGCGTGGCTGCACAGGAGCCTGTTCCCCTTGCCCAGCCTGCGACAGATGCGGGCGCTGGGTTTGGGAGCTGCTGAGGGGAGCTGCAGGGAAGGATGGAGGAGGGAGCAGGGCACACACCCCCCATCCCTGCCCCCTCCCCAGGTGAGTCCTGCCCTGCGAGCTGCCAGGTACTGCCCCTCTTTCTCAGCCAGGGATCAGGGCCTGGCCTTGTTCCCCCAGCAGAGACCTGGAACTTGCTCTGGTCATTCCCAGCTGGAGAATCCTTGCGTAGGCACTGCTGGCAGGGCAAAGCATCTGCATTCCCCCGGAGCCCCGGGGCCAGCCCTGGCAGATGCCAGCACTCGCTGTGTCCTGCTGGCAAAGCAACGTGATGAGCTCAACCATCATTTGTGCGCGGCCGTGGCGCCGCAGCCTCGCTCAACGCCATCGATCCCGCAGCAGCAGCACGGCCTCGGGACACGGCCGGGAGCAGGGCTGGCCTCAGGCAGAGCATTTGGCACCGGCAGGGCACAGGAGGGTCACCAGCCCCGGCAGAGCAGGGACCACGCTCTTCCTGGCCAGCCCAGGGACTCTGCCAGGGCTGCTCCCCTTGTTCCTGCTGGGCGGGGAAATTCCGGTCCTGAATGGATGCAGAGTGTGTGGATGCGCCTGGAAGGCAACGCCAGGCCCCAGGAGAGCTCTGTGCAGGCAGGGCAGCGTGGGGACACAGGCTCAGCAGCCAGGGTGGCTGCCTGTGACACCCCCAAATCCATTTGGCAGCACCCCCGAGGCTGGGCATGGAGGTCATGGCCCCTCCCATCATCAACGCCTTGAATGGCTCCTCCGTGAAGCTCTCCTGCACCTTCAACTCCTGCTACAAGGTGGAGAACAAGCAGTTTTCCCTCAACTGGACGTACCAGGAGTGCAGTAACTGCTCAGAGGAGCTGGTGAGTCTGGCTGGGGATCTGCTGGGGTCCTGGGACCAGCTCGGGGTGCAGGGAGGGGGTGCCTGGCTGGGAAATGAGCCCGTGGGGTGCCACAGGCTGCCTCACCTCCTGTCCCCACGGCCGCCCAGTTCCTGCAGTTCCGCACCAAGATCATGAACAAGCAGCTGGACCGCTTCGGGAACCGCGTGGAGTTCACCGGCAACCCCGCCAAGTACGACGTGTCCTTCACCCTCAAAAACGTGCAGCTGGAGGACGAGGGCACCTACAACTGCTACGTCCTGAACCCCCCGGACCGGCACCGGGGCCACGGCAAGATCAGCCTGAAGGTGCTCACCAAAGGTCAGTGGTGCCCCGAGCTGCGGGCACCCACGGGGGCAGGGTTTGCTCCCAGAGCCCTGCCCATTCCCAGGGCTGCTGCATGCCCTGAGCCCGTGCCCTGTGTCCCCAGAGCCCCCCAAGCACGACTCGACGGTGGCCGTGATCGTGGGCGCCTCCGTGGGCGGCTTCCTGGCCGTGGTGATCCTGGTGCTGATGGTGGTGAAGTGCGTGCGCCGGAAAAAGCAGCAGAGGCTCAACACGGACGACCAGAAGACAGAGGAGGAAGGGAAGACAGACGGCGAAGGCAACCCGGACGAGGGCACCAAGTAAAGCCCCCCTGCCCACCCCTCCCTCCTGTCCCCTGTGCAGTGTCACCCCCTTGATGTGCTTCCCAGAGCAAGGATTTCTGTCTGCCCAGAGCATCCCTCCTTCCATCCAAACACCCAACCCAGCCTGCAGCAGGGCGCAGAGAGGAGGTCCCTGGAGCCTGGCTGTGCTGGGCAGGGCTGGGGATAGGGGCTGAAGGCCCTGAGGCTGAGCTGGGACCAGCCTGTCCCCTGCCCTGAGTGCCACTGCTGTGAGGAGGTGCTGGGGACAGGCTGGGACGGGTGAGGGGGGACCTGTGCAGCCCCCACACATGGAGGGACTGGAGGAGGGGGTGCCAGGAGGGACAGAGGGGTCTGGGCAGCCCCGTGGTGCCCAGACTCATCCCAAGGTGCTCCTGCTGTGCCCAGTGGCACTGGTGTTGCCATCCCAAGGGATCCCGATAGCTGCCAGTCTCCTCCTTGCAAGCTCGTGCTCCTCAGGGACAGTTCCAGGCTGCTCACAAGCCAGTGGCCAAGGCCATGAGCCCACCCAGCGTCTTGGAGCTTTGCAGGGTTTTGGAACCATTAACAGCCCTTGGTGTGCGAGGGATGGACCCTTCTGCCTCTCGGGCTGGTTTTGGGTCTAAGCACCTCAGCCCAAAGTGCTGGGCTGAATTTTTTGTGCTGGTTTCCTTCTTGGGGAGGGTGGTTGTGGCGGCAGATGTCCTGCTGGCGTGTCAGGGGTGGTGGGGAGTGCTGGGGTGAGGCTGCTCGGGACAAGGAGCTGCTGAAAGAGAGAGGAGCTTTCGGGCGCTTGCTGGGAAGGACTGGGCACAACAGCAGGCCCAGAGTCAGGGCAGCTCTGCCAGGCTGGAGCAGCCCTGCGACACTGAGACTGCCTCCTCCAGCCTCCCTGCACAGCACCGCACACTCTAACTGCCATGGCAATGCACTGCCAGCGTGCCCAGCCCCGAGTGCCACCTGCCTCAGCTGGCAGGTGAGCTGTGCTGGCTGCAGCACCGGGGCTCAGGCAGGGAATGACCCCGGGCAGTGTCCCCTGTCACCAGGCCCGAGCTTTTCCTCTCCCGTGGCTGCCAGGAGGGGACAGTGCCCGGAGCCACAGGGGACACTGCCCAGGGGCCGGGGATGCAGGTCCTTCGCCCACGAGCAGCACTGCCAGGGGAGAGGGGACACCTTCGCAGCGTCCCTGTGCAGAGAAGGGACACCTTTGCCACGTCCCTGTTTGGGTGCCATCCCGGCGATGCCACCAGGCCCCAGGGATGGCGGGACAGCTGTGCCCTCCCCGCTCTGCCCCATCGCTTTCCACCCCTTCCCTGCACACCCCGTGCATCCCGCTGGCCCCACGCTGCTCCCGTCCCACCCGCAGCAGGAATGTGCCGTGTCCCAGCCCGGCTCCTTCCCTGGCCCTGCTGCCGGGAGGGCCGGGCTGCCCCCAGCCCCGCACAGTGCCAGCGGTGCCGCAGGGCTCCCGCCCCGCTCTCTGCCAGGGTTTTCTGCCAGGCCGGGCTGCCCCCGGCTCCTGGAGGGACTGAGCAGCGCTCGGGGGCACAGAGGCCTCCGAGGGTTGCACACGACCAGTCTCGCATCTGCCTTTCATTTCTTTCCGTGCACTCTCCCTGGATTGCAGCTCGCCAACGCACCTGTCTGTTCGGAGCCCAAAAATACAGATGTGTACACACCCAGGGCTGCTCTGCCTCGTGCTGCGGCCTCGGGCCTGCGCCTTCCCCCGGGCTTCTCTTGCCAGCCACCCTCCGAGCGGGGGGTGTTTTTATTGCTCTTTGTACAGTCAAAAAAAGAACAATGAAACACCGACTGTGCCCTCGATGCTTTTGTGCCGCAGCCTGCAGGAGCAGGACAGGCCCCTCAGCTGCTCTGCCTGGGGGGATGAACCTGCCCAGGGTGGGGCTTGGTCCTGCTGAGGTGCCCAGGGCACTCTGTGTGTCCACAGCTCTGTCCCACAGAGCTGCCACAGTGCTGGGAGCATGGCCAGTGCTGCCCCAGCCTTCCCACGGGGAGATTTCGGGGGTGCTTCACACCCACTGTGGGGTCTCCAGGTCCTGTGGCCTGTCAGCCTCTCCACCTGCACTTCCCAGAGAGCTGGGACTGATGGCTGCTCACGGAGGTAAGGCTCAGCAGGCTCCAGCAGAGCCCAGGGCACGCACGGCGTGATGGACACCCGTAACCGGTCCAGCAACGCCGTGGGGATGCTCCAGAGCAGCACGACACAACTGGGGCACAGTTAATGGGCACATCCATCCATTCAGCCACCGTGGAGACACGAGGGAAGCTCTGACAGCCGCCCTCACCCTGCCTCTCCCTGCTGCCCTTCACTCCGAGCATCCCAATTCCTCACACAAGCAGAGTGCGGCCACACTCTGCCCTGAGGCACTGCCAGCACCTCTTCCCACCTTCCAGCCCCTCCCCAGCCCCCACCTTGCTCAGCCCACCGCGGTTCCCAGCAGCAGGGGCAGTGGGATGAGCTCTGCCAGTGTCCCTGTCCCTGTCCCTGCCGGACACTGCGCCCTGGGCACCGCTGCGGAAAACTTCCAACTTCCCTGGCACCTCTCCCTCCCCGAGGAAGGGCACCCAAATCACCTCCACGGCGCTGCTGACACAGCCCTGCAGCTCTGGGCTGCCAATCGATCCCTGGCCCGTGGCAGGGAGCAGCTTTGCCGGGCAGGGAGGAGCAGCTCCCCGCAGGAGGAGGACGTGGGGGTATCCCCAGCCAGCCTCAGGGGTAAATACAGCCAGGGCAAAGGGGTGGGGGACCCCTCGGCACGTTTAGGATGCTCATTAGAATGTTGCTGGCAAAAAAAAAAACCTTGAGGAGAGCGGTGGGATCACAGAGGAGACCCCGCGGGACACAACAAGGGTGAGTTCTCCTCACTGCAGGGCACTGAGGGCAGCGACAGCAGCCCCCCAGCTCTGGGGTTTCACGGATTCTCCAGAACCATGGACATTCCTGGGTACAGAACACTGAAATTTCCTCGGGCCAGGTGGGATTACAGGTGTTAAAGAGCAGGAGAAGGGTGGGAGGTGGCAGGGACCTCTGTCTGGTGCTGTGCAGAGTCACAGGGGACGCTGGGGTGTCTCAGGGAGAGTCCAGAGCCACAGTCCCTGCAGTGCTGCCCTGCTCCCGGGGCTGGGAAGTGAAGAGGGGCACCTGGAAAGGGATCAAGAGCCTGGGGCAGTGAGGGGTGTGAAGGGCAGCTCTGGGGGGACAGATTGGGGAGGGTCCGGTGGAGCTGGCCTCGGGCTGTGCCGGGTCAGGATCAAACTTTCTCCTGGGACACAGCAGGGTCGGCTCAGCGGTTCTTGCAGATGCTCTGCAGTGGCTGCTGGGGACACGGCGCGTTTAAAGGGCCCGTGGAGGGGCGAGGAACCTGCGCGCTGCGGAGGGCAGGGGGGAGCAGCAGCGGCAGCGCGGGGAGAGGGGAAAGCAGCGCTCCGAGGGAGAGCTGCAGGCAGCCGGGAGCTGGAACGAGCAAAGCAGCCAGGTACTCACCCGCAGTCCGTGCCCGGCACCTCTCGCTCACCTTGCAGCCCGGCCAGTCCGTCCCAGCCAGGACAGTCCTGCAGAGTCCCTGCGGTGCCTCCTGCCCACTGCCAGCTGCCGGGATGCCAGGCCACCTTGCCTTTTAAAGGTCGCAGCCAGAGGACCTTGCAGTAAATATAAGGTGCTGATGGGAAGCTCTGTTCCAGCGTTGCCACCTCCTCCTCCCCCTCCACCGGCAGGAGGGCTCTGCCTGCTCCGGGTCCGGGAGCACAGCCTCGTCTGGCTCGGGGAGGTTTTGGGAGGAGGCTGGGACTGGCACGATGCTCCGGGGCAGCCGGGGCCAGCGCTGTGCCTGCCGCGTTGGAGCTGCAGCCCAACTGCTCTGCTCAGCCCTACCTGCTCGGTACCCACGTGGAGGGAGGCAGGAGCCCTCCTCGGAGAGCAGCAGCCTGGCTTTTTAACCCTCCCAGCTCCGCCAGTGCAAGGTGAGAGGGGCTGAGTGTGCCCAAGCAGCCACCGTGCCCCCCGGCAGGCTGTGAGCCAGCTGGCAGCACCCCTGAGCCCTCCCTCCTGTCCCCGGGGAGGTGACAGTGTCCGAGCTCGGGGTGCTCACCTTCCCTGAAAGCAGACGCAGCAGCCCGGTGCTGGGATCAGCAGAACGAGTTCCGCTGAGCCGCAGGAATCCCGGATCGCACGCCGGACATCTGCGTCCTGCCGAAATGCCAGGGCCAGCTGCTGCCAGCGCCCTGCCCGGCCGCGGCACTGGCAGATGTCACACGGGACCAGTCGGCCGGGGAGACCGGCTGGAGCTGCCGAGTGTGACAGCTCCATCAGGCGCTGGTGACAGCCAGCGTCCCGCTGCCAGCCCCGGGCTGCGAGGGCACAGCCGCCCCGGGCGTGTGGGGGAACGGGGATGCCAGGCTGTCACCTCTGCGGGGACACTCAGCAGAGAGACATGGATGCAGGGCCACATCAGCACGGAATAAGCTGGGTACCCACCTGCCCTGTGCCCCCCGTTGGTGCCAATGCCCACAGGACCTCTGCTGTATTTACTGGCCAGCCCTTGCAGCAGGTTTCCCAACCTTCCTGCTTCCAGAAGGATTTAGGGCTCTACTGGCAAGATTCTCAGTGGCAGTTTAGGCCAAATGCATCCCAACTTGCATCCCAAATGCAAGCAAACTTGGCAGGCACCTGAGCATCCCAGGAGGGGCTCCTTCACACCTTCCCCTGCACCAGGGTAGGGGTGCTGCTGTTCCAGTCCCCGCTGCTGCAGGTCCTGTGTGCTGCATGCTGGCTTCAAACTCCCCTGCACCTGTGCCTCTGGCCCCAGCAGCTCCAGGCACTCCTGCAGCAGTGCCAGGCATCCCTGCACCCCCAAGGATCTCTCTGCCTGCCCTCACAACTAGTGATGCTCCAGCAAACGCTGCACTCCTCCTCCCGTCCCCACACAGCACCTGCAGCTCTGCTCCCCTCACTGTCTGTCACCTCACTGTGCCCATCCCCTCACTGTGCCCATCCCCTCAGTGTGCCCATCCCCTCAGTGTGCCCATCCCCTCAGTGTGCCCATCCCCTCACTGTGTCCATCCCCTCACTGTGCCCATCACCTCAGTGTGCCCATCCCCTCACTGTGCCCATCCCCTCACTGTGCCCATCCCCTCACTGTGTCCATCCCCTCACTGGCTCCATTAGCTCCCTGGATCCATTAGCTCCCTGAGTGCATCCCCACCCTGAGTCCATTCTCTCCCTGAATCCATCCTCTCCCTGAATCCATCCTCTCCCTGAATCCATCCTCTCCCTGAATCCATCCCCTCCCTGAATCCATCCCCTCCCTGAATCCATCCCCTCCCTGAATCCATTCTCTCCCTGAATCCATCCTCTCCCTGAATCCATCCCCTCCCTGAATCCATTCTCTCCCTGAATCCATCCCCTCCCTGAATCTATCCCCTCCCTGAATCCATCCCCTCCCTGAATCCATCCTCTCCCTGAATCTATCCCCTCCCTGAATCTATCCCCTCCCTGAATCCATCCCCTCTCTGAATCCATCCCCACCCTGAATCCATCCCCTCCCTGAATCCATCCCCGCCGCCCGCCAAGGCACCTTCTGCTGCATCAGCAGAGCTGTGCACGCTGCAGGAGCCAGCGCTGCCCTGCCTACTCCACCAGTATTTCTCCTACCTCTCTTGCCAGCTCTGCAGCCCTAACGCCTCAACCCACAGGCACTGCTGGCATCCTCTCAGGCTCCCCTGGGATGTCCCCGTGCCCTGCAAAGCCTCCTGCTTTCCCTCCTCTCTGCTGCTTCATGCTGCTGGCCAGGACAGCTGCAGAGGGGGCTGGATGGGGATGGGGAGCCCTGAAGGTGACGGGCTGTGGCACCTTAGATGTGCAGGCAGCATCCCTGCAGGTGAGCTGCTCTCACACCCAAAACCCAATCGATCAGTTCGGGGAAGCCTGGTCCCTGGGGTGAGCTCTGCCAGGACGTGTGCCCTGTGTCACTGCAGCCCAGAGAAGAAGCCAGCAGCACCTCCTCCCCTTCCCACCACGGCTGTTTTGGGAACAGCAAAGGCTGCGGGAGGGCTCGTGGCTAATGGACCGGAGGTGAAGCTCTGCCACGCCCCGGGGCTTCCATTAGAAGAGCCCCCACGGCCGCCTTCGGGGTGCGGTGTGCCAAGAGCAGCCTAATGGATGCGAGGAAGGGAACTTTTGTGCAGCCAATTATCCCAGAAGAAGATCACGGCGAGAAAAATAAGTTCTCAGAGTGTTCCCTTCGGCGCCAAGCGCATCCCTCTGCAGCCATCGGGGTCTGGCTTTGCATCCCACCTGTGTCTGCTGTCTGTCCTGGGGATGGAGGGCAGGGACCCGGTGCCACACTGCTGAGGTGCCCCAAGGAGAGCTGAGCCCCGGCCTTGTCCTGTTTTGTTGTCCTGGGAAGCCACCGGCTTTAGTGGCACTTTGCCTCTTCCCGAAGCAGCTCAGGATAACACCAGCCCAGTGTTTCCAGGCCACCACAGAAGCACTGAGGTTGGAAAAAACCTCTAAGATCAAGCCCAGCCATAAACCCAGCATTGCCAAGGCCATCACTAAACCATGTCCCCAAGTGGCACAGCCATATAGTTTTTGAACTTTTCCAAGCTTGGTGACTCCACCACCACCCTTGGCAGCCTGTGCCAGTGCTGGACAACCCTTTCAGTGAAGAAATCTTCCCTAAAATCCAACCTAAACCTCCCCTGGCACAGCTTGAGGCCTTTTCCTTTTGTCCCGTAATTTGTTACCTGGCAGAAAAGCCCGACCCCCACCTGGCTCCACCCTCCTGTCAGGGAGCTGACCAGAGCAGGAAGGTCCCCTCGAGCCTCCTTTTCTCCAGTTCAAACCCCCAGCTCCCTCGGCCTCTCCTCATCCCGCTGGTTCTCCAGCCCCTTCTCTTGACACACTCCAGCACCTCAGTGTCCTTTCGAGGGGCCCAAAACTGCGCCCGGGATTCGGGATGCGGCTTCATCAGCACGGAGCACAGCGGGACCGTCCCTGGGTCACTGCCCCGCTCCAGGGAGCGCTCCACGGTGTTCGGGGCGGGTGGGTGCGCGGGTGGGTGCGCGGGGGGATGCGGAGGAGCGCGGAGGAGAGCGGAGGAGAGCGGAGGAGAGCGGAGGAGAGGGGAGGAGAGGGGAGGAGAGCGGAGGAGCGCGGAGGAGCGCGGAGGAGAGCGGAGGAGCGCGGAGGAGAGCGGAGGAGCGCGGAGGAGCGCGGAGGAGAGCGGAGAGAGGGGAGGAGAGCGGAGGAGCGCGGAGGAGCGCGGAGGAGAGCGGAGGAGCGCGGAGGAGAGCGGAGGAGAGGGGAGGAGAGCGGAGGAGCGCGGAGGAGAGCGGAGGAGAGCGGAGGAGAGCGGAGGAGAGCGGGGGAGCGCGGAGGAGCGCGGAGGAGAGCGGAGGAGAGCGGAGGAGGGCTCAGCGCAGCCCCGCCCGGCGCGGCCCCGCCCGGCGCCGCTCGCCCTCCGCGGGGGCGGCCAGAGCCGGGCGCTGCGGGCAGCAGGGACCGCTCCGCTCCGCGCCGCTCCGGCCGCAGCCATGGCCCCGGGCTCGCCCGCCGCTCGCCGCCGCGCCTCGCCGCGCCTGCTGGCCGCGCTCCTGGGTAAGGGGCGCCGAGGGCTGCGGGGACCCCTCCGGGTACCGCCCGCGTCCTGTGTCCCCCCACCCCGGCTCCCCGGCGGGGACCCTGCCCCGGGGACCCGCGGCAGCCCGAGGCGGGGGTCCCCGCTCCGCACCCACCCCTGCGCCCCGCCCGCCCGCCCGGGGATGCCGCCCGCGGGCGCTAACGCCGCTCTCCGCTCTGCAGACGGACGGTCCGGAGCGCCGGGGATAAGTCACTTGGCCAAGGTGACTTGGCAGCCGAGCCCCAGCTCCGAAGCGCCGGCTCCAGCCCCTGCCCTGCCCGCAGCGGCGCTTCTCCTGCGAGCACTGCGGCTGCACCCCGCTTTGCCCCGCTCCGCGCCGCCCGGCGAGCGGGGACCGCGCTGCCCGCCTGCCCGGCACCGGGGATGGCCGCGGGGAGCCCTGCACTGCTTCAGCGCCAGCACGCCCGCCGACAGGTCATTGTCTTACGTTCCTTCGCTACAAGGACCGCTCGCATGTGCTTGTCCCCGGCGCGGGGAGCCACCCGCGCTGCAGGGCCGCTGCTTGCAGCATGGTGCCCGGCCCTGAGCCAGGGATGCCCGAGAGCCGCCGCGGGGTGCGGGGAGGGGCTGGGGCCGTCCCCTCCCCACTGCACACCTGGGGCAGGCTCCGGCCACCCGCATCAGCCTCACGCACCCGCTGCACTCCTGCTCCCGTGGGTCATCCTCGTGCCAGCCTGGAACTCGGGCTGGCCGTGCTGGGGCGCTCCCGTGGGAGGCGCTTTAGAGGGCAAAGTTCTTAAGTTAAAGGATGCTGGAGACACAAAAAAGCATGTAAGTACCTGACCCCCTGCAAGATTTGGGTGCCGGCAGCTGAGCTGGCAGCGGGGTGGTAGGAGAGACTCGGAGATGCTTGAGACCACGCAGGGGTCAGGGGTCCAGGACGTGGAGGTGGGAACCTGGTCCCACAGGTCGCTCAGGTGGGCTGGGAGCTGGAGAGGGCGGTGGGCAGGGGGGTGCAGGCGGCTCTCAGTGTCCGTGGGTGCCGGGGATGCCGAGATCTGCAGGGAGAGGCTCTGGCTGCAGC